CATGCTACTTATCATCAATAAAGGTTCATACCAAGGGACAAAAAGTTCAAAAAATTAATTACGTAAAAGAACTCATCAATCCCTAAAGCCTTAAACGTAATCGCTAAAATTATGAGGATATATTTATGCATCTCACATGTACTATAAAATTCCATAATAGTAAGTTCAGTCATCAGTATCCAATAAGAGACTCATCATCAATAGTTCAATAATATTTTTGCATAACTAATCAACATTCATAAGCATTATCAATTTGAAGAACAACTAACTTAACTTTATACATCATAATCATTTACATAAACATAATGCATAGTTGGTTCGATCTTTTGTAGGCTTTGTACAAGGCCATTTTCATTAGAATTGCTTGATTCAGTAATAATAGTTACGTGTTAGACAAATAGTTAAAATACATAAGTGAAACTGAATTTGTTCACATCAATCTAAAAATATTTATTCCATTAAGTATCAAATTAGACAAAGTATGCGAATGTAACAATAAATGAACTAACAATAAAAAAAGGCAAATGCTCACTACATTAATGCTTTGAGGCGTCTATAAGTTTAACCATGAGTTAGAATAAATACATATTCTAAAAAGCAATAAGTAGTACTACCGTGACTCTTTTCTGGGTAGTAATCATGATATACTAATAAATTTATCATTATGGTGATTCTCTCTCACCTAATAGGACTAATTGATAATATATTCATAATTAGGTAGGTCTGTCACCTTTGGGTATCCGTTTCACACCCATTATGAATATACACCTCCAGTTAATTAATCACTTGAAAGGTGGTGCACCTTTGGACCGATTCCTAATAACCAAATGATCAAGAAATTGTGATTTGCAAATCATTATTTTAATACCTCGATAATGGGTATTAAAAAACAATTATATGATTCAATACTTATTAATCATTCTAGTTGGACCACTTTGGTGGCTACCGAACTATATCATAATATAGGCATTAAATCAAAATAATGACGTTACACAATCAATTATTTTAATATCACGAGATAATGGATATTACAATCAATTATATGATTCGATATCTATGAGTCATCCTAGTTGGGTCACTTTGGTGATTATCAAATTATATTGTAATATAGATTTCGAATCAAAATAATTACAATGTCTAAACTATTATTTTAATATCTCAATAATGGATATTAAATATTAATTATGTGATTTAAAATCTATGAGTGATTCTAGTTGGGTCACTTTGGCGACTACCAAACTATATCGTAATATAGATTTCGAAATGAAATAATGACTTTAAATAAATCATAAGATTAGCAATAATCCACTGTCAACTATTCATCATTATGACACAGAAGATCATTTGTTTGACCTAAATAGATCAATCAATAAATAAAATATTGTGCTTTAGTAAATCATAAAATTTTATACATTATACAGAATATCATGAATATATGTATGACACAAACTTCCATGATTTGTGCACACAATCTAAAGACATAACATAAAATATTTTTGGGTCCTTTAATATAGCCAATATATTAGCCAACAAACAAACAAAACTACAGGTGGAACATTAAGCTACATATTACAATTCATTGCACATAAATTAGATGACCAACAATTAACTATGACATAGACACCGATTGACAAATTACCCATATGAACGTTCAGGGGTTACATGAAGTTAAACAATTAAAGAAACTATCATTAACATGAATCTCAATGATTCTAATTACTTGGACTTTCCTTGTTGTACTATATATGTGAGTGACATAAAGTGTACAAAAATTTAGAGTTCAAATACAAGTTTAGATCTGTCATCATATTGCACCGACTCTTTAAGAATTGAATCATAAATATATGTTTTTGCGAATTGCATCATACTAATAGAACTCATAACAATATCACTACAATTTGGCGTGATCTCGATTCATGCTACGGTTCACAATGATGGTAATTAAAAATATATTTCTTAATGGAAAATCATGGGAGTTCATAACACATGCTTTGATACCACATGTAAACTTTATTTGATCAAATAAATCAATCAAACTCTAATTCCAAGATCTAGAACAATCATGATTTTCACATACTCATAGTGCGGAATTAAGACATCATAATTTACATACCTGAAGCCATTGATGTAAACCTTTAGTTTCTTAAACAAGAATAATAGTATTTTGGTGTAACCTAAAAACACAGTTTTTCTCCCGACCTTTTAACGTAAGATATACAAATCAATAGGGCATGTGCACATTTATTGGTAGAGAGAGGACCGGTTTTCTAGATCAACATGAAACTCCACTTCCCATAAAAGTAGGATATCAGCTACTTCTCTTTGATCAATCAGAAAACATCAGTTACCTGGTTAGTTTGGGATTGACTACCTTATCATTATCTTGACCCAACCAATTCACCGATTAATTAGTCATCAATAAATATCACATGTGCCAAAAATCATGTGGGCCACATTTAAGTCTTACATACCCATCACCCCAAACCCCATCCACCTCTAGATATCCCAAAATCCACAAACCCCCTTCCACATCAACAATAATTTAAAAACCCATCTCCTGCTATTTCTCATTATGTTATTTTATGGTTTTTTTTTTTAATTTTTTGTCTTGATTATTGTTCTATCTGTGTGATTAAAATGTATGATAAATATTGCTTTATGGGGAATGGGTTTTTGGTTTTGAAGTTTTATCTGCTAGATGATATTTTTTTAGACATTTGATTCAAACCCAAATTAGTATCTCTTGATTCAAATCCATTCTTTCTACTAATAATGAAATGCGATTATGTTTATTTAATCATGCAGAGATGTTCTGGCATTAGACTGTAAAACATGTAGGATTGTTTCCCTTCACCTATAACTTGAGATTGGGTTTTGTCTCTCCATTTTTGTCTTGGTGAAAGGTGTTAGACTATTGTTCTAAGATGCTGCATATATGAAGAATGTTTGTTTTTATAGTTGTTTTTAGCATATAATTTGTTTGGATTGGATTTTTTTATCGATGCAGAACTTTTGTTCAATACCTGAGCATGTAGTTTTTATCTATGGTATATTGTTAGGCCATGTACGAAAATTTTGAATTGATAAATACCTGGGCAGTGTTAAGTGTTTCTGACCATGGTGTTGTACTCATTTGAGTGTATTGTTTTAACTCATTTGATTCTTTTGTCAATTACTAGTAAGTTATTAAAAAGAAGTAAAAATAATTTATTTTTACTTTCTAATAAACATTTTTAAGAAGATATGGTCCTGCCTAAGTGGATGTAGTCCTGCCTTCATGATCTTATGGGATGGTGATGGGCGATATGGTTGGACTGTAGGGTGGTTTTTGTAGTTTGAAATTCTATTGTGTTGATTTGTATTCAGAAGTATGGATTGGATGGTATATGACTTAGTTGTAGACTATTGTACAACTTGTAATGAACGACTATTTTGACTTTTGATGCATATCAATAGACACGTTTATCAACTGAAAAGCACTGTATTGGAGGCTTTTCAATTGATACTTTAAATGCTATGAAAAATGACAAGCTTCAGACTCTGGTAAAATTGTATTTACAAAAGAGAGGCATTCAACACATCAATAGAGTGGCATGATCTATAACAAGAACGTAGGTATAGTGGGGTGGGAATTGTTTATGTATGGGGTATATATAATGGGGTGGAAAAAGTATATTTAGTTGTTTACTTAGGGTGAGTGTAGATGGGGGTTGACTTAGATATTAATGAGGTGAGTATAGATGAGATGAGTTTGGCAATTTGAAATTAGAAAGTTAAATGGGGAGGAAAAAGATATTTAAGGGGTGAGAATAGTCCCACCCATATCGGAATTGTTAGTTAGAGTTATGGATTCATATATGAGAATTTTTATGGATTCATATTTTAGAATTTAAGCATGACCCATTATTCAATGTCATTTGGGAAGAAAACGACTTTTGCTTCCTTTCTAAGAAGTAGACGTAAAAAGGGGAGGTAAGAGAAAGGTAGGAATAGGGATAGTAAAATGGAAGAATAGAAAAGTTTTGCCTTCAACATTGAAGATAATGGGTTAGTGGATTGATGACAAACTTAGTTTTGAACAGGGCCGTATCTCTAACTTAAAAGTGGAAGGTAATATAGTTCACTTTCTGAAGGCGTGAATTACATCTTGCTAACTAGTTAAGATGAAGCACCGCAAATGGAGACATATTTATTCTCAGATGGCCATTCCAAAAGACCCTTGAAGGATTAGATGAGCGGTCATTCCATATGGTTTATTGTGTAGGAGTGGAGATTATCGTTAAATCATACTAGTTTTATTTATCGATGCTGTTGCACAAGGTTCTGAGTGGCATTCTTGATTAAGTAACTGGGAACTGGGCACATTACTCAATTGTGGCTGTTTTTGGAAATAAATATCTTGATTTGTTCTTGACGGCCAATCCTTGGCTGATTATTCTGGTGATCATATCACATCTGCATAAAGGTATTGAATTGCAGGTTGCCTGAAGGCACGTGCACCTGTTTATGTTTTTCTTTTTCCCTTGTTTAAATGAAAATGGATTGTAAGATTCTCTCACAGTGGGCGCTAAAAGCTTAAATTGATTTCATCTGGATGGGAATCCCAAATTTTTATTTTTAAGTTGCACCCCTATTTGACACAAATTGTGCCGGCCTTTTGCCTTAAGTTTGGGTTATTAGTGTTTTTCTTCTCTGGAGCAAACTTTGTGAAGGTCATGTCATTAGCTATAAAGTTATACCTCAAAAATGAGAAGAAACTGATCATTCATTTATTTAGAAATACTTCATAGTGCATGTTGCTGTGGAACTTTACATATTCAAATCATATGTGAACTAAAATTGGGTGATATTGTCTTGTACAGTACATTGTTCTTGCTGCATGATTGTGTTCTCAATTGTATTGTTCTTCAGTATACTTTACAATAAAAACTGAGTGAAATGTTATAGTTGCAGCAAACATGTGCTCACTTTCATCTTATCCGGTGGCAGTATCTCCTCTTATGGATGCCATCGGAACAGAAAATACAAGTAAAAATGTGGATAGTACACACGAGGGAAACGAGAATACATCTGTTGAGATCAAGGTTCTGTTCTTTGCTCGGGCGAGAGATGTCACTGGCTTGACTGACATGCCATTGGTGGTTGCATCTGGTAGCACTGCCGAGAATTGCTTGTACGAGTTGATGTCCAAGTTTCCAAGCTTGAAAGAGATTAGTAACTGCATGGTCCTGGCTCTAAATGAGGAATATATATCCGAATCAACAATTGTAAAAAATGGAGACGAATTGGCAATAATACCTCCCATAAGTGGAGGCTAAATTTTTCTGAAATGCAGTGTGTACATGAGCAATAGTTGTTGAATGTTATACTCGATACTAAGCACTGTAACCTGACATAGTTGTGTATGACGATTCCCAGAAAAAGGTAATCCATGTGCTGTGAATGGAATGAATGAAATTCTTCGGATTACAAAAATTTTAACTTAGTTTTTGATCGACTTTATGTCGTTTTTTTGGATGTCGCAGAGGGGAAAAAAAACCAGAGCATTTGGTACCATTGTCATTATTATTGTTATTCTTGGTGGTAACTCCCTTCGGACGCAGTTGATCAATCATCACCTTCGATATAATTGCATAAAGACAGCAATAATATTGCAATATTGATTTGGTTTTCAATGATCTTATTTAGACTTGTCAATCCTATAGTGTCAAAGCGAATCCGTGTTGGGTTTTAGTGTCAAAAAAATATTTCACTCATATTTTATTGGTTTATTAATTCATGTTTAACGAATCGTATTATATTAGGTTTGTGTCACGTATAAATCGTGTACATGGGTCGTGTATTTTTTTTGATTAGTTTTACCTATATCCGATTTATTTATTAATCGTGTTAGGTCGACTCATATATGAAATGGGTAACTTAAAAAAATATTAAACTCTCTAATTTTATCGTGTCGTATTTTGACACCACTACTCTTAGTTATGTAAATTCAACTTGTCGGATATTTCATCTTTCATCTTAGTTAGGCAAGTATTCATGGAGCTTCATTAAATCAAGATAGGTGATGTGCCTATACGCTCTCCTAATTCAGCGGCAAGTAATGGGGTCAAATGGAGCTTTACAAAAAAACTCTAAGGGCATGCTTGGTCTTGGTTTAAGTATAGTATAGAATGACATTGAACAATTGATTTAATTTTAATTCATAGTGACAGTAATAGTTGGCCTACAATTTTATTCCACTTGATCCAAAGATCAAGGTTTGAAAATCTATAGACCCAATGGAAGAGGGAGTAACGTATAATACCAGGCTTAAAAAGATAAAAATACCCTACGTCAATGCATAAATCTTAAAGTTATAAGGACACTCCTGTCATTTTGTGTTTTAATACCAATTATACGTTATTTAATTGCATATTGGTTTATACTAAATATAGGGCTCGTTTTATTTAATCAGGTCTACTACTTTATACCGTATTAATTTAAAAAAAACGTATATTAATTATATACTTATCATATATTTTTTATATAATAGACCTGTATTATAAATATATTTTAATACCAACAAAAGAGATAGAATTATAATCCAATTTAAATATATTATTCTACACATTTACTATTACTAGTAATGCACAACGTGCGTTGCACATAAATAAATGTAAATAATATTTTTTTTTTTATAAAAAAACATGAATTATATGAGTAATTAAATTAAATAATAAATTAAGTGTCAAATAATTAATCTGTATTTTTATTATTGCTAAATTTCATGATTAATTTATTCTATAAGTCTTTGAATAACTAATATGTTATTTATTTAAGTATTTCTTCGACCCCTTTAGTCATTTGTCCATCTAATTATATTATAAAATTATTAATTTTTATTTTATCAAAAAAATTGATTAGATTACTTATAATATTATTATATTATTGCATACTAAAAGATAAAATATAGCATATGTTTTATAAAAGAGTTTAAAATAAGTTAAAAGTTAAATAGGAGTAAAAAAATAAAAATTAGATAAAAGTATATATGTGAGTATAATTGATTTTATTATAATAATTAGAGATAAAAATGGAAAATCAAAAATAATTTAATATATATAGGACTTTACTTCTTCATGTAGATATAAAAATTTATATGTAACTGTACTACTAATAAATGAGTTCAAAAGAATTTAAAAATCCTTATAAAAGAGTCTAAAATAAGTTAAAATTCAAATAAGAGTAAAAAACAAAAATTAGATGAAAGTATATAGATGAGTATAATCGATTTTTATTATAATAATTAGGAATAAAATAAGAAATTAAAATTCTTTCGGAGATGCTGACATTTATCCAAAATAAGATAAAATTCAAATAGGAGTAAAAAATAAAAATTAGATGAAAATATATAGATGAGTATAATTGACTTTATAATAATAATTAGGGATAAAATAAGAAATCAAAAATTTTTCGCAGATGCTGACATTTATAAATAGTATAGATAAACCCCCCAACTAATAAAATCTAGTTGTTATCAATGTAACAAACACTGATTGAAGATATTTTTTTTAATTCAATATTAATACCATGAAATAATGTCCTAACTAAACAAATAATTGAATTAAATAACTACTATCTAACGTTTATGTTGTGTATTGACAAACGCTAGATAAAATTACTTATTATTTTAATACCTTATTTAATCTTTTATTTTATTTATGTATATTGTATTAGATTATATTATTTTATCAAATTTATTCATTTCTGATACCTGAATCAAACGAGCCCGTTAAATGTCACTTTTGCAACAAGCCAATATTAAAATATCTTTAACATCCAAACTTATAATTTAATTCAAACTTGACAATTGAATTAATTGAATCCAATCTCATCCTTTAGTACTCCAAAGTCCGAACAAACATGCCGGACTCGGCTACTCCTCCCAGTCTGTCTGGGAAGGGGTAAGGGGGGAACACATTAAGAAGTCTTCAAGTGACTTTCTAAATTGTACGGGCTAGTTTGGTCGGGAAAAAGACTGCCCATCATGTCCTTTATCCTATGGTTGGCTGTAACATCCAAACTTAACACCCCGGATAGAATTCATTCTTATACTTATTACCCGGAAATGGGATGAATTCTTTTTTTAATTTATTAATTACATAATTTAAAACTAATGGGGCTGTCTAACATTTGGGCATGCATTAATTGGACATTAATGTCACGTATATGGGCAGGAAATATATTTTTGGAATAAATTTTGTACCATTAGTTGAAATTAGATAAAGTTTGGATTAATCTTAATAATTGGTGTGCTTTTATAAATGTGCAATTTAATTTTAAAGTACTTATGAGAAGTTATAAGTACTAGAAGTACTTTTGAAAAATCACTACAAACACAATCTTAGAAGCTTATTTTTCCTAATAAATTTAGGGTACTAATATTAACCTTTGAATTAATTTTAAAATAAAATTTAAAGAGATCTAAATCGTGAAAAGTAAAAATTATTTTATTTATCTTTTTTAGATTTGAATTGTATTGTAATTTTTATTTTTTTTGGTAGGCGAGGGAAGAAGGGGGCTTGAACTCTTGACCTTAAGAAGACAAAACCTTCACAAAGTAAAGAATATCATTGAACCAAAAGCCCGTTGATCCAATAAATTATATTATACTTTATTATATAGATCTATTAGTTATAACTCGTACCTAAAAACAAGATGAAATATAAGATTTTAGCGTTCAAAAAATTGATCTCATTATCCAAATTTAAAATTAATTTTTTTGCTTACATCGTTTAAAATTAATTTCTACCTATTAATTTCTTAAAAATATCATCAAAATTTTTTCAAAATGTATAACTCGATATATTTTATTAACATGTGTACACAGTCATATATGAAATAAAAGTTGTGTTAAACTACAAATTAACTGAATATTAAATTATTGAATATATGATAGAATTGAGTGATGTAATATTTTTTGAGGAAAAAATGTATAAGAGATAAATATTCAACTTGCTAGCTAGCTGATTTATTATATAGATATATGTATCTAATCATTTAAAATATATTTATTTTATTTATCTTTGGAAATTTAAATTATATTATATTTTGTTATATATATGTATATATATGTATCGCCCAATGGCTGGTTGGCGCCGCCCAGAGCTAGGACCTCAGCGCCTCCCAGCTCTCCCTCTCTCCTGATGGCATCGCCCAGCTCTCCCTCTCTCCTGATGGCTTCGCCCAGCTCCCCCTTTATCTTGATGGTGCTGCCCAAATCTCCCTTTCTCTTGATAGCGTCGCCCAGCCGCCCGCTGGCTTCGCCGAAGGACCTCCTCACATGGGCTTCGAAATCTCTAACTCCCTCAGCATTTTTTGATCCATCATGGTTGTTTCCTTGACCCGCTGAACTGCCTCTTGGCCCCCCACTCTTCTCCATCGATAGATCCACTTTAGAAACACTCTTTACAAAACTCCTCTCCTCAAACCAGCCTTCAATGGAGGATCTAATGTCTCAAGGAAATTGGTTACAAAGAAGGAGGAGTGAGATGAGGTTTATCAATACTGAATCTATGAAACCCTTATGGAGAATGCCCAAAATGGGAGAAAAAAGGGGGGGGGGGGGGTTGGGTTTTGAATGAAACCCACTCTTGCTCAATGGCATTACCATAATAAAGTGGGATGAAAAAGAAAGCAAACTCTTGAAACGCAAACCAAGCAAGAAGATGAAGAAGCTACCACCGTGATGGAAAAGAAACTCTTTTTTTTTTTCAAATGAAGAGATTATCGTGGGGGGCAAGCCACCCAAAAGTAAATGACTTGCTCATGTTCTCAACCCTTTCACCACAGGCTTGGGACATGAGCGAGCAAAAGACGAGTCCAGATTTAATTGGGTTAAATCCAGTAAATCAAGTAAGTCCAGGTTCACTAGGAAGGCAGTCCAAATTCGATTTATCAATTTGACCTAGTTCAAGATCTGAGGAGTCTATGAAGAAAAGAGCACGTAGGGAGAGATTATCGGGATACCTACTGTTGAAGATCAAAACTATCATAATTGTACTTACCTTTTGTAATTATGCTCTCCAAAGAATTAGTACCCTCACACTTACGTCACCGTTTCACCATGCTTATAAATTGTAAGTTCTCTCCATTGAGAAAGACATCTCTCTACACATTGAGTTTTGCATCTACACCTCTCTATACACACTTTCTCTTTTCTAGCTATTGTATCTCTCTCAAAACTAACCATTGCTCTCTTTTTTATTCACCTTGCTTGATCAATAAAAATCACCCGACATTTCCTAGAGTGGAGTAGGTCATTCGAACCGAACCATTATTTATCTGTGTATTGATTCAATATTTACGTTACTGCTATTGATTGCTTATTTATGTCCATTAATTACATCTTATCACACACTTGACTGTTGATCTTGTACGAGATTATTTTATACATCATCAATTCCTACGAACATGTAAAATTAGTTTACCAAATGCTGACATGGATACATATTCAGTTTGGATATGAGCTTGGCCTGATTTCACTTGAATAGGCAAGATTATATTTTTGTTATCCTATATAATCCGCTCGGACATCCATCCGAACACACTCTATGGTGGTGTTTAGATCACAGAATTTGGCGGGATTGGAGGTGGGATTGGATTAAAATTATGTGGGGGGTCCACATATCCCTACTTTGGATATGTCAAAAAGATTGGGACGAGTTTTTGAAGCCAATAATCCCTGTCAGGCAGATAACTGGATCCCATGTGAAGTGTGGGATTCTACGATTAGTCTGTAGGATTAGTTGTAAAATTATTAAAATATCCTCCACAATATTTTTTTTTAAGTTTTTATCTACTTTCACTTTCACCCACTCCCCCTCTCTTCCGTAAATAACACTTGGTCCCAGCTCTCATCTACCAGGTTTTCCCCCCTATCTCTATTCGTATCTCGTGATTTTTGGCTTGAATCGTATCTCGTGTGGACCTCTCTCTCTCTTCCCTTTCCTCAGCTGCAGTCTATGTCGTATGGAACTCTCCAGCGAAGTATGGAATATTCATGCCATTCCGGGTAAGCCTTGCCGATTGAAATCACCGGTGTTCCTTGACCCATGCTGATTGCAAAGAGAGAGAGAAGCTTGAGGACTGGGTTTGGAATTTGTACTGCGAAGTGGCTTTCTTTTGATCAGGGAAGATGAATAATTTAACGACATTAAAATCTAGTTTATATCCTAGTGGTTCGGTTTTTTTGCACTTTACCTCTTTTGTTTAGAAATTAGCACTTAACTCTCTTATACTTTTGAACTAAATTGTTACCATTACAAATTCTCTCTCAATTGACAGAATATAGCATGCAAGAACATGATTTGAGAGTAAGTGTGTGAAAATATTCGGTCTAAGTCAACTTTGAAGGAAGGGTTTGAGTCTCATTAAAAAATCACATTTGATTTGTGGTGTTGGGTCTCATTACATCTTAAATTTTTAAGATCTTAAAAATTTTATACTCATCCATTTGTTTCCTTATAGATGAACTCTAAAAAAAATTAACATTGTAATTAAAGTAACATATTTTAAATTAATCTGATTTGTGCTATTAATTCAGACAATAATATTAAAATGCCCTAAAATTCATGAAAAATAAATTGCATTCGGGTCATTGAAAAAATTTAATATGGTTTGGATTAATTTTGTTATTTATTGAAAAAAAATAATTAAGTTTTTTTTTTAAACACATAACTTCGAATCTTCTAGAAAAAAACAAATAACGATTTAGGGATGAGTTGTATCGATTTGTGTATTGTTTTTGTGTTGGAAATAATTTTTTTTTTTTTTGCATGATGCATATGATTTTTGTGATTAAAAGTGTATTGTACAAATTAAATTAAATTAAATAAATGAACAAAAAAATTATTGTAATATTTTATAAAAATACATAATTTATTGATTCATATTTTTTTTCATAAATAAGACAATACTAATGGATTAGACTTTTTTTCATTCTATTCCAAACATGGTATAAGATTGAATAATATTTTTTTATATAAGGGTGAAATAGTCATTTTAATACGTTTTATCTTATATGTGTATGAGACCCACAAACTAAATAAAATTTATCCAAAGATGAGATAAGATTTGAATCCGAACTTTATAATCCTTCAATCCGAATTACTTTGCATTGGATAGAATTGGAATCCGATTCAAATCCAATCTAATCGAATCCTCCCTCCCGTGGTGATCCAAACAGCACCTATGTGTTGTGAACAACCCACGGTGCATCATCCATTTACCAACCCGGTCCAGCTCTCTCTCTCTCTCTCTCTCCACTGCGGCATGGACTCACTTCTCTCTGCTCATCTCTCCCCTCCCTCTCTCTCCTCCTACACACCCCAAAACCTCCGTCACCCTTTTTCCAAATCAATCAGTTTCTCTCTCCGCCCATATACACCACCACCTCTCAAATCCTCACTCACTTCTCAGCAACCCATCTTACAGTCCAACTCCAAAACCCCAAATTCTAGTCTTGTGTTCGACCTCGAAGAACCCAGTAATCTCTCTCTCCTCTTAGCCTCGGCTCCGCAGACTCCGGCCACCGCGATGCGCGGCGCCGAGTCCGATGCCATGGGACTGTTGCTGAGGGAAAGGATTGTTTTTTTAGGGAACAACATTGATGATTTTGTTGCTGACGCTATTATCAGTCAGCTTCTTCTGTTGGATGCTCAAGATCCAACTAAAGATATTAGACTATTTGTCAATTCTCCTGGTGGGTCTTTGAGGTACGAGCATATTATGAATTATGACTGATGTTTGGTTCAATTTTGATTGTTTATTGCATAAATTGATAATATGTATGTTAGGCAATTTCCTCTGTAAATTGTATCAAATGATTGCGAACATTTTTTCTTCGCTAAGCTAAATAAAAACAGTGAATATTTTTGTACATTTGCCATATGTTAAGCAAGATTTTAAATATAAATTAATATGGGTATAGTTAATTTTTTTTTTTTCATTTGAGTAATTTTTGTGGTGGTTGTTTGTTTAGATATCGTTACCAGCTTGGTTGCCGAAAGTTTAATCTTGTCTTCTACAACGGAATGTTTCCACCACATACTGCACACTCATTGAGGGATAACTTTTGGGTAGTTGTGAGATAATGTTGAAACACAGTTGTACATATAGAGTGTGAGATTTTGAAGATTGTTAAAAGAATATCATTGGATCTTGACTTTCGCACCTAAGCGGTTGAAGCGTCTCTTTTATACTTTTCCTTATTGGGAAGAGGAGGGGGATAAGAGGTTTAATTTTCCATTGAACAGATGGTATAATGGTTGCAGCTAAAAATTGGGGATAGATGCATCTATAATCACATATTTATAGTGGAATTACGATATGCGAATAGAAGATTTCACATGGGAATCTTGGTATAGGGTTTAATGAGGGAGTAGGACTATTAGATTTGGATACATTTTGCTACAAATTAATGGATATGCTCAATGTATGACCATTTAATGTATAGGATGGCAATATTTGTTTTGAAAGTGAGGTTTGAGGGGACATGTATTGGATATTGATCGTGTGAAATGCAGCAAAGGCTTGGGGACACAAATTGTTGGTAAAGATGATTGGTCTCATGATTATCTCATAAATATCAGGAAGGAAAATTAAGTTGGAAGGACTCATATACTGTGGCTGGATAAGAAGTAGGTTCTTTGAAGCTTAAGAGAAGGAGAGAGAAGGGGGGGGGGGTGAAGAAAAGACAAATGAATGGCATGATGGTATGGCAGCTGGGGTGTGCAAGTTTGTAGGTAGTAATGGCTTCTTATTGGTGACTATGTTGTTCTGTAAGGTTACCAAATTGTGAGTTGTTTGCTGATAAGCATTAAGGAAACTGATACTGTGTGATAAAGGTGAGCTAAAAGTAGCATAGTGGAGGACTTAGAGACACTAGATAAAAAGCAACCGCAGTAAAGCAAGCAATGGAAGCAGTGGGAATATACTATATGACAGCATGGTAATCCTTTTGTGCCATATCAAATTAACAAGGTGTTTAAATGAGGAATTATATTGAATCTTTCCGTAAGCAAAGTTGAAGCATCATGCATGGAGAGGTGCATGGATTCTCATCCACCATTCAATATTCTTGTGTTCAATTTGTCATGCATATGATCGTAGCGGTACCTTCATTCCAATAAAGGATAATAGATTAGAGAATAATTTCCTTTGTTGGGCCTTTTTTCACTTAATCATGTGACATTCAAAAATTCAAATTTGACTTTTGAACCTCAGAATAAGAGTATGGCAGTGGTTGGTCAAGACCGAATCTTTTGGGTCATCTTGAGTTGTGAGCTTAATGAGTATCCATCATGCTGAGTTTGAAAACCAAGTCTAGTGTTGACTTGAGCTAAGCTTGACCATTCTCAAATTACCGAACCAAACTTGGGCATCCAAATACTCAAATCGGCTTAGTTTTTTTGCATCGGTGGCAGCATGTTGTATTGTTAATTAGAGAATCTGAATTAGTTGTTACACTAGTTCTTTTTTCTTTGCTGATTTTCTTTGGCTATTGTCATTTACCAGTGCTACAATGGCTATCTATGACGTCGTGCAGCTTGTGAGGGCTGATGTCTCCACAATTGCACTGGGAATTTCAGCATCAACAGCTTCCATAATCCTGGGTGGTGGCACCAAAGGCAAGCGCTTTGCAATGCCAAATGCACGAATAATGGTGCACCAACCACTTGGAGGTGCAAGTGGGCAAGCAATAGATGTGGAAATTCAAGCCCGTGAAGTTATGCATAACAAGAATAATGTCACGAGCATCATATCGAGTTTCACTGGTCGCTCTTTTGAACAAGTTCAGAAAGACATTGACAGAGATCGTTACATGTCTCCTATAGAAGCAGTTGAATATGGCATCATTGACGGGGTTATTGATAGAGATAGCATTATTCCCCTTGAGCCTGTGCCTGAAAGGGTGAAATCTTCACTGAGTTATGAGGAAATAAGCAAAGACCCGAGGAAATTCTTGACACCAGACATCCCTGATGATGAGATATATTAGCTGGTGCAATTCATACAGGTACACGGTTTTGCAGTTTATCTTCGGCATGCAGGGTGCCTAGTGGTTAGAATTGGAATTTGTGAAATTGGAGCGAGAATGCCATTCTCATTTCAATTGTGATATTGATTGCTGTGATCTTTTACTAATGATATGAGCTTATGAATGAACTTGGAGTTGACAATGATGACTCTGCGTTCAATATTGCATCTGTTAACCCAGATTGTTTACTTCTGTAATGTTTGACTCGGAGTTAACTTGCCTACCTTTAAGGAAGATTGACAGTAGCAAAAACCAAAGTGTAACATAAACTATAATGTACTACGTCATTAACCTTATTGTACATCTATTTCTAGGGACCAAAGAAGAGTTGGAAAATCACAAATCAGACTTTGTAAACTGGGTTTATGTTCATAGCATCAGTTGCCTGAATGGAAGACCCTAAATGCTTCAATCATCATGCATAAGTGCACCTTCTGCACAGGCTGGATTTATGTCCTTGGCTGTTGCTGTCTGATTTGACATTGCTCATACACTATGCAAATAACTATTACTCTTCCTGCCTTTGGTTCCTTCCGGAGAAAAAGAAAAGAAAAAAATGTGGTTTTTTCTTTTATATTTTTTTGGTCTTGGGGGGTATTCGTGGTGGGGTGAAGGAGAGAGTGAGCCTCTCGGAGGTCATCTGATGCCTCACCAAGGTAAGCTCGTTGGGTTTCTAATTTGAAAATCATTGATTCTTCCTTGGCAGACCTAATTACTGCGTACGATTGCTATTTACCCATGAATGTTCTAAGCTACAGATACGAGAATCGTGCAAATTTTGAGCAATGTTTGTCCTTGTTTCCTTAAACCAGGCATCGTGGAAGGCTTTGAGATGGCAAGCAGTAACATTCTGTTCCATTTGCTGTAAGAGGTCTAGGGTTCTCTGGGGAAGACGTCCAGAACCACAGCCCAAAATTTAAGAGCAGTGCCATGTTTGATATTTTTACGACCATAACTGTATGAAACTGATTGTTCCAAGAAAAGATTTTTGATCTCTCTCTCTCTCTCTCTCATATTAGAAGAAACTAGATGATAGAGATAATTTTAGCTTCAGAAGCAAATACCATCATTTTAACCAAAATTTACTGAAATATTTGTGAATATTTTTTATTTTTTTTTTACTTTTGTTTATTATTGATGTTATTAGTTTTGAGAAACATCTGAAACATTAGAGAAAATTAAGTATTTATATTTTGTTTTATTGATTTTCTTACGAGGAGGAGAAAGGGTAAATTACACTGATATTTAATCACACAATTTCTTTATATTTGAAATATTACACTTAGAACCCTAAGTAACGGTAAGCTAACAAAACTAACATAAATTATAAAATGACTATTATACCCTTTAATAAATAAAACACAAGCAATCCCAACCCACCAAACCCGAATCCAAACCCCAACCCAACACTAAACTCTAACCCAAACCTGAATACAAAAACCCTGCTCTCTAACACCCCAAACCAACTCTCTCTCTCTCTCTCTCCCTCTCCCTCTCCATCCACAATGCGCTTTTCCTTCTGCCTATTTCTTCTTTCACATCTCCATCGTACTACTACCCATCCTCTATCAATCCCTCTTTCTCTCTCGTCCTCCAGCTCCACCAATACCACTACTTCCACAGCCATCTCCCAACCAATTTCTGAAAATTGGAGAAGGTATGAAGGGTCTAGGTCTAAAAATTAGTTTGTTGGCCTAGGATTCAGGTCGATGGATATGGAGAGTTGGCCATATCTCAGACGGTTTTTCGTCACCAATTTAAACCTCACATTGGTCCAAGATTAAATTAATGAAATTAAAATTTCAGAAACTAAAATTCAATTAGTAGTAAACCTATAGGGGTGTTTAAATTTTTGATTGATCGCAATTTTTTACCCTATTCGACCCTACCTTATTTTACTGAATGGCTAGAAGCAAAAATGAGGTAGAAATGCGGAAGAGTTTTTGGTCTTCTGATTAAATCGGGTAGAAATGCAAAATATCCATCAATTTTAGCATTCCTACCCTACCCTACCCGTAAAAAATATTTAATTTTTTTATATTTTTTTAGTAATTATAAGAGTATTTGTGTAGTATAATTTATATTATAGCATTCTTATTGCTGTAGATGTTTAAGTTACTAAAACATAGACTTGTTTTTTGTGTAGATTACATGATTTGTGGTGAATTGGTGATTTATTGGAGCAGTTATGATTTAATGTATTTCATATGATTTAAATTTAAAATAATTGTTATTGTATTTGTGTAATAATTATAATGGATTGATGTTTATGTTTTTTTGTGTTTTATTATAATTATTGTTGTAGTTGTTTTAGATTTTAGTGTTGTTAAATTGGTGTATATTATTTAATTAAATTATTAAAATAATCTAAAAATTAATAACTATAAAAGTGTTTATCTTACTTCCTACCCGATTAATCGGATAGTAATATCACACCTAATCGAATAAAGTAGATCAATAAAAAATTATTTCGCAAAATATCAAGTGGGAAAACGAAAGACTGTACTTTCTACCCATAAGATAGAATGAACAACCTATAAACCTCAACGACTATTGTTGAAATTTACCCTAAAAAAATGTTTCGGGAAATAGGGGAAAGGGGCAGATTGGAAATTATGTTTTGAATATGACGATGACATCATGTAATTTTAACGATCACATTAGACTCCTGGCAACATGGGACTACGTGTTCCGTGAGCACAAATTTTAGTGGTTTCCATGAAATATTTCAAACGTGAGGGTTTGATAACATTAACACTTTTGCCGTGTATCGGACCAGACCATTTTCAGCTCCCAAGCACTGAAACACCCAGCAGATGCAGCAAAACCCTATCCTAAACCCTAAGAAACAAAGCTGTAAACCCTAAATTCATGGAACTTCCAACGGTCAATTTTAAAGCTTCAATCTATGTCAGTCTCTTCTGCACAATCATCATCATCAAAGGTACTCCCTTTACTACTCAAACCCATCACACCCTTTCGCTTATTCACGTTTTCTTACTCTGGATTACCCAAAACCCCTGTAGACAGAATCACAGTAGCATTTCAACAGGAAAACCTCAAACTCATAGACCCTTTATCTCTCTCTAAACTACAACCACTCCACGTCGACTCTATTCTTTTTAATCTTCGGCACAAGCCCAGTTCAGCAATTAGGTTCTTTGAGTGGTCTGAGAATATTCTGGGGTTTAATCACACAATTGAATCTTTTTGTGGTCTTGAACATTTGTTGCTCAGTAATAGAATGTTCGATCCGGCCAGACTGGTTTTTGGTAAAATGGTGGGGAAGTTTGGGGACTATGATTGTTTTGGTGTGTTTGATAAGGGGTTCAGAGTTTATGGGTCGAATAAGAGTACTGTGTATAGCTTCTTGATTGAGAATTATTGTCGAGTTGGGATGATTGATCGGTCCGTTGAGTTGTTTTTTCGATTGTCTAAAATGGGTATTTTAATTTCACCTTATGCATTATCGAAAATGCTTTGTTCTTTGATTGATTCGAAGCAAATTGATGTTGTTTTGGATGTGTGTGGAGAAACGAGTAATGGGTTGAGAGAAGAACAGTGTCGGCATTTTGATGTGTACAGTTTCGTGATGCATGGTCTTTTCAAGAAGGGTGAGGCTGAAAGGGGGTTAAAGTTTCATCGAGCAATGATTGAGAGAGGGTTTGTGCCTAATATTATTGCTTGTAATAAGATTATGAAAAACCTTTGCAATGGTGATTGTACAGGAGTTGCTTTTGGTTTCTTTTCGTTGATATTAGAGGTAGGTCCAAATCCGAGTCTGGTGACGTTTAGCACATTGATTAATGCTTATTGCAATGAGGGAAGATTGGAAGAGGCATTTGAGCTCTATAATATTATGATAGCAAGGGGTATAACTCCTGATTTAGTGCTTTATAGTATTCTTATTGATGGTCTTTTCAGGGCGGGGAAGTCGATGGAGGGGCGTCAACTACTCTCCGTGGCGATAAATAGTGGCATCAAGTTGGATGTGGTGGTTTTCAGCTCCATTTTGGATGCATGTGTGAAAATGGGGGATTGGGAAAGAGGGCTTGAAGTGTATAACAGAATGTTGAAGCAAGGGATCATACCTAACATGGTTACATATGGTATTCTGGTGAATGGATTGTGTCAAAAGGGCCAGCTTCCTGAAGCTTTTGGCATCGTTGGTCAGATGCTGAAACAGGGTGTTGAGCCCTCTGTTTTAACATACAGCAGCCTGATTGATGGCTTGTGCAAGGCAGGAAATTTGAGAGGCGGGTATGGTTTATACAAGGATATGGTAAAGAAGGGCTATATTCCTGATGTTATAAGTCACAGTGTGCTTATAAATGGTCTTACTACGCATGGACAGATGGGTGATGCTCTTAGATTATTCTACCAGGCACTGAAGAGTGGTTTAATTCCCAGTGTATTTATGTTTAACACATTAATTGATGGTTGGTGTAGATTGAAACGAATAAAGGATGCTGTGAAATTTTACATCCAAATGGTTATGTATGGTATGGTACCGGATGTAGTTACGTACACTACGCTTATTAGAGGTATCAGTGAGAAGGGGAAACCATTCGAGGCATTAGTTTTTTTCTTTCAAATGCTTAAAAGGGGTTTCTCTCCAGATATATTAACATATTGCACTATCATTGATGGACTCTGTAAACATAAAAATCTGATGGCTGGATTACGAATTTTTGACATGATGCTCCAAAATGGAATAGATCCTGATATTGTTATATACAATGTTCTCATTAATGCTCTTTTCAAGGAAGGTCGCTTGGAAAATGCTTTGGAACTTTTCAGGAAAGTTTTTGAGTGTGGACCAGAACCTGATATTGTGACCTACAACACAGTAATCTGTGGATATTGCTCTTTCAAAATGTTGCATGAGGCAGCTCAACTTTATGAGGAGCTGAAATTCAGACGGATTGAACCCAACGCCATTACTTTTTCTGTTCTGATCAATGCATTATGTAAAGAAGGAAAAATGGAGGATGCGAAGTCGTTATTTTCGGCAATGCTGGAAAAAGGTCCAGAACCTAATGTGGTTACGTATAGTTGTTTAATTGATGGCTACTTTAAGGCCTGTAATATGAGAAATGCCTTTGAGCTTCATGAAAAGATGCTTGAGAATAGTATCTCTCCCAATATTGTGACTTACAGCATCCTGATTGATGGTCTATGCAAAAGGGGACTGATGGAAGAAGCATCTTTTACCTTTCATCATGCTTTAGAGAGGCATTTGTTACCTGATGTCATAACGTATGGGATCCTCATTCACGCATTCTGCAAGGTTGGGAGATTAGCAGATGCCATGATGTTTTATGACCGCATGTTGGGAGAAGGCATCATGCCAGATGCATTTGTGCAGAGAATACTTGCTGTATATCGTCTTCAGAATAACCAGACAGAAAAACTGTGTACTCAACTGAAGCATGTGCAGAGGACATCTTCCCATTCATAGTTGAGAAATGGCTGGTTTGGAGGAAGTTAGTCTCATGGTGAATGATTTTTCACTGTGTGTTCTTCCTGGAGAGTAACTATATCCATACAGACTATTGTTTAGGAAGCTGATTTATATGTGTAATTACTCAACAATTCATGCATATGAATACTGTATTCACATTTTTCATGTAAAAGACAGAAGATACTTGTACTGTAGCAATGTGTTATATCAAATTGTGGGCACGTATGGTGAATTGCAAATGAGTCTGTATGCTATGTATTGTTTCTTGCAAAAAGTGAGACCATAGTTGTCATGTTGCAGAGTTGTGCAGTTTGGATATTTACATACTTTTGTTGTTTTTTCACACTGATTTTAAGTAAGGGGAAGGGAGGATTATGTGCCTCCTCTTCGATCATAATATTGCTCAAATGGCTCTTCTTCCTCAGTTAGCTTTGTTGGAGTGATGATCAGCTGTCTTTTTATATTGAAGAGATGTGATTGTCACACACGCACGCGCACACAAAAACATATATGGCTGTGTTGATTCTGAATGCCGATGGCTTTCATGACATATGCAAGCAACATTACACATGATCTGCTACAGTAGATATTGGTTATGAGCGTGGATATGAATTAGGTTGGTACCCTTGAGTCGCAATTGTGAACTTAGGGTGGCTATTAGTAATCGGGCTTATACGCATGTCTTTGAGTTGGATGGGAAGCCAGTGTAATGAAGTTAGGCAAGCCAATGAATTGACAATGAGGCCCAAGTGTAAAGATGAATTTGTCAACTGATTATTTTACTATTGAATATCTCTTTCTTTCCTTTTGTTGTCTTGCTCTTGTATCATGGTAACTTTCTTTTGTAATTCCACTGTTCAGACTGAAAAACTTCCACTTCTATTGTGTTTAGTATTGCTTAATGTATTTGATTCAGTTCTTGAGTCTGATAGTGATTGTATTTTCTAAGTGTCTATTACATCTCTGTTTTTTTCTTCATGTTGATAATTTTTTTTAAAAAATAACTGAGAATGGCGTAAATTTTGTGAAACTTGTACAAATGATGTGCATCGAATCAATAAGGGTGTTTTTTGATTCGGACTTTCACCGTTAAAGGGTTAATTGAGAATGTTTTTGCTCTTTCTCCATAAGCTAGAAGGCCACAACGTCAAATAACAATAAATGATGGTATTTTTTGGGCTTTGGAAGAAATAATTGAGAATTAGAGATGTCATTGTTAACGCACTGTGGAGAACGTCAGGTATGACCCAGTTTCAAATTAAAACCTTGCCGGCTCTCCAAACATAGAGAATGGGGATTCAAAGTAAACACAACACATGAATCCATTATTGCCGGTTGATTTTCAATATTCCACAGTATTTGACTCTGATTAACTATAATAGCTGTAACATTTTTCAAAGGGTTAATATATATATGTGTGTGTGTGTATATCCTGTGTTTTACTGATTACATATATATGTAGTACATTAGACTAAGCATATGGTAATTAACCCATCAGTGAAGATTTCAGGATTACTATCTCAACTCCCAAGTTCTACTCTCTGAAAAGAGTTCTAGCTTGCCCGTTAAGTATAATTGCCCGCTAAATCACTTAGAGCGGGAGCAGGGACGAGAGAGGGAGCAAGAGTGCAAAAGCAATTTTTTATAAATCTAATTTCATTTCAAAACAGTTACAAAACTGCACTTAAATCTTCAAATTAATCAAATTCACGAATTAGTAAACTTGAATTCACAAATTTAGTAAAGTGCAAATGTGAATTCACTCCCAAAGTAAGCATTTGTGAGCGGAGCGACAGAGAGTAACTTGTTATGCAGGGAATTATGACGTGAGGTGGAAGATATGGGTCAAAAGAACGTATATTTAAAACGGTTCTCTTAAAACAAAAGCTCTGCTAGTGATTTAGCTGGACTTGAATACGTATCAACATCTTAAATCACATAATTGACAATCAATAAAACATGTTTGGAACTATTTCTTCGCTTCACACGAATTGTTGACCAGTCAAGGGGACAAGATCTTAGAATATTCAATTTTTTTTAAGTTTATTACACAAGATTAGGTGACTGATTGGGATCGTCGTGTTCCTTGTGTCCTAAGTAAAGTTCAAGAAACGAGTGACAAATCGGTCAGTTTATATATTCATCAAGTAGCTATACTTATTTTTCCTCACTGTGTTGCTTTAATTGTGTCTGGATTCGATTACTTTAATGATGCCGGACTTGTTATTTTTACAGATAAGGATTTTTGATCCTCCAGTGTGGTTTCTGCCAATCTCTTTGGCTGCTGAGGCATGCCATTACATCACACCTGCTCATTAGATGGTTTCAGGGAAATATGTATTTGATGATTATCCAAAATAGGGTAAGTTTGCTCATTACTTATTTCATCTAAAAACAGTTATATATGAGAGCGTTGTCAATTAGGTACAACTGTTTTGAGATTGGACCTAAAGTGATGAAAAGTTCTCATTCGTCATGTCACACCTTCAAATTTTAGAATCAACCTCTTCAAACTAATAAACAATACCGTCTATTACTAACTTTTTTTTCTTATATATAAAGTCTTAAATCATTTTATGTGTTGGATACGATATATCCAAAAAAGGGACTAGTAAGAAATGGGACATGAAGGGATAACAAATGTTGTCCATATCGAAAAATGTAAGTAAATGGGAGTGACTTTACACATAATTTGTGGTCAAATTACGACTCAAAAAATGTAATCACACTTTTTTTTTTTTTTGGGGGGGGGGGGGGGGGGCTCAATCACATAATATTGACCCTGCAATACATTTGAGTTGGTCAGCCATGATTAAGTACAAGAAGTTTACCTGTATTCACCCCCACCCCAACACCCACACTCCACCTTCCCAAAATGATGAAAGTGCCTCCTCAACAACTACACATTTTAAATCATAAAAGTTGAATGGTAATTTCAAAAGTCATTTTCATGGCCTCCATCATCCCCTCTCATCTCCTCCAGGTGAACCCAACTGCTTCATGTCTTATTCAAAGCATTCCAAATCTTGTACTTCATTATCTAGACCCCATGATCTATGCATACATCATGATATATATGTACGTATCTATGCGTACGCATATATAAATTTTGTTGATTTTCTTTCGTTTGGTTAGACTGTTATGTATACAAGGCAAAATGCTTATTAATTTCATGGTATTTCGACAGTTTAGAATTCAAATTACCACCATGTAAACTTTTCCTACAAGAAAAAGGACAAAATGAATAGCAAGTGGCATCTTTGAAAACACAATATTCTTTGATTCCATGGGGTTTTATATGTTTAGTCAATGTGTCTACCACAACATATGCAAATTATTCTCACCAAAAAGTGGTATCTTGTCGTATATTCAGGAAATATTATATCAGGGTATGATTAGGTTTGAAGGTTGAATGATTAAACTTATTGCCTTGCTGGTCCTATTAGTGTTTAGGTCTTTTTCTCCATGTATAATCATTTCTAAGAGCTAACAGAGAAGCATATATTCTGGGCGCTCATAAAGGTTTTCAATCTATGATATTTTTTGTGTTCCAAGCTCTTCATTTGGATAGCCAGCGTCTTCCTTTGTTTTGATCAAAAAGTGGACTGTGTGCAATTATGGTCACGATGGAGAAGAGGAAAGCACTGTGAATGATTGTTTTACAAGATTGCGAACTATAGGGAACAGAATTTGAATTTAAAAGGGGAAGAAGGAAAGAAATCTATGAAAGATGGAGGGAAGAGGCTACTCAGACTTATATAGAAACACGAGTGAAGAATTATTCATTAAGACCATGATGGAAAGCTCGATTGGAATGCCAGTGCCAACCATGGAGATGTTGGGTTTCAAGAATCTGTCAAACAACCACCGCACAGATAGTGAGGAACTCTTCAAAAACTGGCTCACGAATGGAGAGGCAAGAAGTTCTAGTATTCTCTTATGTTGACTTTGCATTTTAATCCATGATTTAATGCCAGAATTTTAGGATTTTGAAAGTTTGCACTGCACAAGTTAGAAAATTTGTCATCAGAGATGGTATAGAGTCTAACAACAGTATTCTGCTTGTGTGTTTAACAACATACATAAACTCCTTTCTTGTCTGCTTTTAGTTTCTTTGGTTGTTAATTGAGCATGACGGAAATTGTCACACCGAATGTAAATGATGGGATGAATGCTTCTTGTGATGGGTTTTTGAGAGTGAATATGTTTTTTTATTCTGCCGTGTATATATGACAATGACCTTTATGTATGTTCTGTTCTAAACTTCATGTATGTTTTGACCATAACAATGCTTCCTGAAGTTCATTAGCTTGTGCATTTTGGGAAGGACTTTTTGGAGACTATTATGCTTAAAAAATTTCTCTACATTTCATTTAGACAATGGCATAAATTGCCAACAGAGCTAACAAGATGCTGGCATGGCAAGCATTCATGGCTTTCGCTCATACAAAAGTGGTCACCCTATTTTGGTTTCTCCTCAGCTCTTTCCTATCTAGGACAATAGGGCTTGAATATCCATTAAGGTTGTAAAGATGGATACCATTGTATCACCTTTACAACCGAATGAATTCAGTTATGGGTAATCACCAAACTGGTGTTTTGACCACAGTTGGAACAAGATATGAATGTAGTTGAAGAAACTGTTTTCAATGGGGCTAAATCATCTATCTTGGCATTTATTGAGTTGTTTATGAACTTGCTTATTTTTTCTTCAATACAATGTGTTTTTTCTTGTATACATCATATTGTTTTTTCATGTTGAGTTATTCTGTCAGTTTTAATCTTTTCCCCTTTATTGTCGTTTTCTCGTTTGATAAACTTTTGCTTTCCAGAATAATGGGCACAATTCAGCAAGTCTAGCTCATCGAACTCAATCACGAAGGTTAGTTGGTTGGAACTGCAGATGTTCATACATACTTCTTGACATAACAGGTCATATTATTTTCACCGAAGTCGCTTAAGGACATCCGCAGGACTTGTATGTGGGAGTATTTTTC